ACACACTCTCGTTTTTGACCTGCTCACTTGTAACATAACCACAAGCAATAAAATTTGCTTTTATTTTTTTGACTGTGTTGAATACGTGTTGCAACATCCCAAAAAAAACAAAAAAAAAACAGAGTGATGAAAACACAGGAAACCAAGTGATTACCACAAAGGGCGTGGGGGTGATGTCAGAGAAGAGGTGGACAGGGACTCCTCGGCTGATGAATACAGCCGCAGCCAAGCTGGCGAAACGCTTGCTGCTGCCCCCGCTGGGAGGGTGGGCGCGAGCGTCGTACCCAATCACCACCCCTCGCTCTTTGAGGTTCCCAATACTCTGCTCCAGGTAGCAACAGAAACCCTGTCAGGGAGGAAACGATTGGAAGATACAAGAGAAAGGTCTTGAGAATGGTTGATTATAACTTTAAATAAATATATATACACAGCACCTCTCACAAAAAAGGCACAAACTATTGATGGGTTTTAACCCAGATTATAACAATTTCAATCATGTAATGAATCAGATAAAAATCACAAAATAATAATCACAGAACATGAAGTTGGATATACATTCAGAACAATATGAATAAAAGCAATCATCATAAAACTATGAGCTATCTTTTATACAAATCAGTGATTTGAAGGACTAGTTTCACAATCCTGCAGTGTCAGATCTTCAGTGCAAAAAGAGCAATCTCCATTATTCTAGAGCCAGAAAAGCCCTAAAAGCAAGCTCTGGCTCACACGCAGGCAGCAACTCAGGAATAAACTATGAAGTGCTATAAAGCAATCTATACGATCTTAAATTCAGCTATAAAATAAAGTGTGAACCAGGTTGTTGGGGGTTTTGGGTGACAATAAAATACTTAGCATTCCTCAACTTCTTCACAAAACAAAGACTAAAAATCAAAAACGGAAACATTCAACTTTCCATGCGACTTGAAACGTATTGAGCTGCAGTACTGACCCACCTGTGTGGTCTGAATAATAGTGAGGTCATTCATACAGGATATGCCAGGCCCCATGGCTGCCCTCAGACCTGCTGTGCCAAACTCCATCCTGGAGGAGAAACACTTCTTCAGAGCTTCCATGTTTCCCTCTTTCACCATATCCTGCACCATGGATTTCGTTTTGGGGTTCTGGGGAAGGGAAACGTTTTATTATCCACAAATTAATAAATAAATAAACGAACACAAAGACTTAAAATCTTGTCTACAGTGTTGTCACTTGATGATAAAGTTAGCATTAAAAACCCAACACAAAAGCTTCTATAGACAACGGGAAAGTTTAGAGGGTAAGAATCAGTCTGCTTAGGAATTACTACGAGAACGTCCAGACAGGACGGCACTTCTGACCACGTGGACCCCTGAGTAAGCTGCTGTAACACAATTATCTCAAGACTAATGAATCTGGGGTCTTTTTCCAGTGGGACCTAATTTGTGACATCCCATATGTCTTTAAGGCCAAGAATGACTGTGTTTGTGTAGGTCTGATAGTCGGGTAGTAGCCGGGTTAGTTTGGTTATACATTTGTGTTGTAAATTGTTAAGACCATGTGACTGGTTCTGTTTCAGTAATGGTAGTAATGACCAACATACCAGAATGTATGACCAGCAGCTGACTGTGGGTTGTTATAAAATCTGAGTCGTATTCTGTTTTACTGGTTTATAATTTCAAATTATTTTCCACTAAATAATTCTGTTATTTTGTAGTATTTATAAAAAATAATGATGTGGATATCAAAAATAAATATAATATTAGAAATAACTGATGCTTGCAGACAGGAGGAAGAGTCTCTTGCAAAATTTGGACAAACGTTTGTGGACCAAACAGAGGGTTATGGATTTATAATCATTAAAATGAAAAAGACTCAGTAACAACAGACGCTTGAGTACAAGCACAAGTTGAATTCTGGTTTTAAAGAAAGCAAACCTGCAGTGATGAATGTTTGTGGATACGTAACCCAAGTGGAAACTTCTCTGTGTAAGATCAGAGAAGTCTAAGAGCAGAGCCCTGGGGAACACCACTGGTCACTCACAAGCAGATGACTGGCTTCATAAAGTAGGGTCAGTTCAGTTTACCATGAAATCCACAACTGGTGTAATTTTACACGTAAGACAGGAGGAGAAGTAGAGAAAAAACTACCTGTAATTGTTAAAACCTTGCAGATCAGTATTAATTCTGTAGGGTGAAATGTCAAAAGGGGTCTATGATGACTTTAATTTAGCTCTCGTGTTCTTGGAAGTAAAATAGCTTCAAACTAATTTAGTAGGGGAGGGCAGGTCAGTGTTTGTGGAGTGGAGTGGTCACGAGTTACGCAACCCGGAGACCGACTTCTTCTATTTTTGTGTGAACAAGGGCTTCTTTGACTTGATTTGTTGGTTGCATGTAAAATAGTTGACAAAGATTATTTAAGAAAAAAAAAACAGTTTGAATTATGATGGGTTCTAGCTAAAATGCTTAAGAGTCATTCTCATCTCAAAGCATCAAATTTCTACAATATTTTCTGTTCGTCCACATCTGACCTCCCTGAAAAGTTTATGGTTTAAAATTTGGGCATATGTAATGATTGCTGTGAAATTATTAGAATTTAATTTACATTAAACTCCAGAATTTTGCATTATTTGGATTAGAGGACCTATTTATATTTTTGCTTTTGTAGAAAAACTTGTCATATTTGCTCCATCCAGATTAAAGGTGAATGAAAACAGCATTTTTTTCATGTTGACAAAGTTTTATTTGGCATTTTTGTAAAATACATCTATGTCCCATTCAGAAAGTTGTCTTTTTTGCAGTGTGTTTTCTTTTCCAATTATTACTATGTGTTCAAATGTTGGACTTTATAATTCGGGTTACTTTCTTTGTTTATTTATTTATTCTTTTAACCAGTCATAATCAGACATTTTTTGATCCATCTCATCCCGGTTCATTTTAAGGTGAGAATGTGAAAAATTTCAGGCTTTTATCTTTAATAGTTTCTGATTCATGCTCAAACATGGCCTCAGATTTCGCAATGTGAAAAAAAAAAATGGTGGAAATGAATCAAGAGATAATTTTCAAAACTATACATCTTGAAAAGTAAACGACATATGAAGTTGAAATTTCACACTGATCATTATATATGTCCAAATATTAGATATAATATATCTAAGACACATGAGATTCTGCTTTCAAATGACAGATCAAATCTACTTTCTGTTATGCTTATCCAGACTATCATCGAATTCTCACAGAGAAAGAAGAATCCAGTTCTTCTTTGCGCTTCTTGGTTTAGGCATAATAATCATGTATTTAGTAATTCATTGGCAGATACTTGATTTGGGGTAATTCGTGGGAAATGGGCACTTCTTTAACATAAAATACAGATCCATTAAAACCCAAGTCAATATAACGTATATCAACTTATTATAGTAAACAAGTAGCAGATTTTTTGCAACTTTAAATGAAAATTTAAATTGAGCACTATCACAAAAAGTTCATTGATCCATGCTTAAATGAAAGGACCAGTCAAGGATACCAATAAACTCACAAAGTTACTAACTGGAATCTTCATGTATCTTCATAATCGCCCGAGAATAAATAAAATCGCTCGTACAAAGATAACCCTGAATGTGTTTGATGACTACAGCAAAGCTGAAGCACTCTGAGCTAGCACGCTAGCTGTCAGCTCACCTTGTCGTACTGCAGCCACTGCCGGACAGACTGGTCCAGCTGGGCGTCACCGGTTGAGGACGTACCGTTCTCCATTTCTCTTCTTGACCAGAGTCAACAATCTGTCCAGCTCAGTGTCTATGCTCATAGAAGATCAACGCGCTCCTTCAGTAACTTTATCTGGCTGAAAAAAGTGAAGACAGCACTGAAGATGTTAGCACCACTGCCTGCTGCTGGGGGCGGAGCGACGTTCTGCGTCACGAGTTTCCTGCGTGTTGCATTCAGAAGCTGTCGTAACTGTGGTTAATAACAAGCGCGAGGCCTTCATGGACTATTTTAACCAACGACTGTAGAAAACAGTTATACGGTCATCTATTTTAACCAGAGGAAATTAATTGAAAGATTGTTTCAAAACTGTTACAGAAAGCGTAATCTTTGTTTTCCTAGAGGGAAAAAAACCCATAATTACACAACTACAGTAGTCACTGGAATCACAGTACCAGTATTTATAGTAATGTGCAAAAGTCTTAAGCCACTCTCATTTATTTACATTTTTACAATTTAAATGGGAAGTAGATAATCCTTTACTACATTCAGTGATTGTCATGCAGAAAAATGAAGCTGCTGCCAATCAGATGCTTTCCAGATGATCTTGCATGGTGGATGAAAAACTGAAGGGACTTCTCTGTGTTCATAATTCCATTCATTTAGACAAGTTCCCCAACACCACTGGCTGAAATGTAGCCCCAAATCAAGACAGAGCCTCCAAGGTGTTTTACAGATGTCTGTAGACATTCACTGTTTCAACTCTCTCCTGATTGCCTCCATACATACTGACAATGATTTGAACTAAAACAATAAATATCTGTCTTACTACCCCATGTGACCTGCTGCCACTGATTTTCAGTGAAACGTTTGTATAATCTGGAATACCTTATCCTTTCTCCACGTTTCCGTAAGAATGGCTTCTTACTACCCACCCTTCCACGTAGACCATTTGTGATGAGGCTTCAGTCAACAGTAGATAAAAAGGGCCAGATGTATCCATCAGAGTCTGTGTCAGACCTTTGTTGGACCTCCCCCTATTTGACACCAATATAAAGTATATCCTCTTTAAAGTAAATAAATTGAAAGATTGAAATATGAAGATGATTATCAATGAATGTTTTTATACTGTGATTCCTCAGATGAAAGTCAGAGCTGGTGACTTTCATCTGAGGAATGGAAGCATGTTTTTAAGAGCCAATTAAAGATCAAAGCTGTGTAAGAGTTTAACCTGTTTAGAACAGTAAGTTTGGATCACTCTGACCCAGTGTGAGTGTAGTTTTAATCTTTCAATTCTCATGTCTGATAACACAGGCAAGTACATTCAAACCCCTCCATCAGCTGTCTCTGTAGTTTGTCTGGGTTCACTGACCGAAGCCAAATTAAGGAGAAGTGACAGCATCCACCGATCTTTACCGCCCTTCACAGAGCACTAGGCTCCATAATGCATACTGGAAGCATCTATCACCAAGTTCATTCCTCTTCTCACGTACAAAAATGGCACTTTCATATAGCTATCTTCTGCTGCAGTTGACAGTCTTCAGTGTATTTTTACCTCGTGCCTTTAATAAATCACAAAAATAAAGATAAAATTGACTAGCTGATTGTTTGAAAACATGAAATCATGAAAGCACAAGGTTACACAGCAGATAAATAGTAAAGAAAAACTGTTGCTCAGTCTGTGGAAAGACTGGACCTCAATCAAAATGTCAACAGTAGGCCACTTAGGGTTTTAAACAAATAGTTTGCGACTCATTGTTATAGATCACAAATTATTTTTCCCCAGCATAGGGAAAATTAAAATTCATCCATCAACCTCCACTATGACATTTATCAACCCGAGCCAAGTGCTATGAATTGTATTGAATAACAATGACACTGAAGATAAAAAAAAAGAACTGTGAGCGCATAAGCAATCCAAGCTTTCTTCCTCAATCACAGAAGAGATTCAAGTTTTATTTTTCCTCAGACACTTTGGATAACCAGTGGTCATATTACAAAGGAATCACTTCACACGATTTCCTATTTCAGGGTTTCATGTAGCTACGACAATAACAAATAAGACCGCATACAACTGATTTTAAATTATCAACACTGTTGGGGCCACATGTTAGTGATGCATGTTATCTGGGACCAGTGGTTTGAGTCCACTTGTCCGCTTACAAGAAAACATTAATGAAAGTGATCACCTTCAATAAATACAAGAAATACTTCTGACTGAAGCGATCTTTTTCAGGTTTGACAGAGTTCTCCAACATCAAATGACAGAGGATCAGGGTTAAATAGGCGTCTGCTGATTTTTCATCACTGCTCTATTAGTCTGTATGTAACAGATGCATTAGTGCTCATAAATACAGAAAAATTACAAGCGCATGGGTTGGTTACAGAAAAGAGCAGCAGTTTACCCTTCAGTTAAAATTGAAAATGAAATTAGTCACAAACACGTGTTTAAATATACACTGGCTTCTGGTTCCAAGAGCAGCAGCAACATTAAAAAACTACTTTCAAAGCAGAAGCACAGGGAAATCAGCTTATTGAACTTGCAAATATTTTTTAATTTTCTTTTTTTAAAAGGAGACTTTTGCAACACGATGGAACCAATAGGAAGAAATAAATTTTAAGTCACCATTACTCCTGAAACTGTTTTAGTAAACCTTTTTGGTTTTACGCAAATATTATTCAGATTCCTTTAAGGCCATGATCCTTTTTCATTAAAAATCCACAGAACTGTGACTTACTGGACTAACTAAATTGTAAACTGCTGTTTATACATTGTCAATTTCCAAACATAGGGCCACTTCCTGTTTAAATCTGGGGACAGCTGTATTCTCACACTGACCACATGGGGAAAGTCAATAAACAGCTTCAGCGTTCTGACTCATTTTAAGTTGTTATTAACAAGATTAAAGATGCTGCTCTGTTCAAGCATCACAATGTGACTTCGAGCCCCTGTGAACAAAATCAGGACCCTGGAGGTGAAGCAACTAAATGAAGCAGCTTTTAATATTTCCAAAAATCATACACATCACCTAACTCTTGACTGTTGTTAAAATATTTTGTGAAAAGGTCCCATGAAGGCCCTTAAAGCCACAATAATTTCAGGTATTTATGTCGAGACCTGAGTTAACGAAACGTGCGACACGCCCCTAAAAGTCACGGTCTTAACTTTTACTTTTAGAGATCAGAGCCCTGACAGACTCTGACATTGAAACCTCACACAAACGGATGCTATCTTCTGCGCTTTCTTTGTTTAATGAAGAACAGATTATCGTCTGCAGGGTACATCTGCGCACCAGTTTTTTTGTCAGCAGTCGCGGGGACTTGATTTTTCCTCTTTTTTCTCTTCTCTTGCTTTGCTTTAGGCCCATGCACCTTTCCTCCAACAGAGCCAAAGAGAGGATTAGGTCTTTTCTCTGTGTGTCCCCCTGGCTGTGCTGAAGGGACATGGTTCATTTTCTTCTTCTTTCTCCTCTTCTTCCTGTTCTCTCCCATCCCTCCCCCTCTGGGAAAGTCTTCTGCTTCATCGAAAATTGGTTTAGCGGCTGGCAGCGGGGTTCTCGAGGTGGGCACAGGTCTCTTAGGTTTCCATGGTTTAACATTGCCTACACTTTCCTGTTGTTTGAACTTATTAAACTTTTTTGTTTTGGGTGTTGCAGCACTTACGTCGTTATCATTAAAAAATAAATGGCTGGGTCTGGGATTGTGGTTGTTAGGAGTATGCCGAGGGGTATGGTTGGACTGGTGGTTGGTTTTATGAAAGCTGATCTTCCGTTTCTTCTTTGGGGGTCCTGGTGTGAGAAGGGCCTCAGAAAAAGATTGAAAACAGCCATTTTTCTTCAGTTCTGGGGAAAGAAAAACAAAAATAATTAATTGGATCTGAATTGATTTGATGATTATCATCTTTTTCTCTTATGATTGAAAAAACAATGTCAGATGGATAAAAAACCTCTTATGTGCCAATTAATTTGGTCCTTAACAGGTTCTAAAAGCATTTAACTACAACCTCACATGACTAATATCTGTTTAACAAAGCGAAGCCAAAACGCTGAAGCAGAGTTTGAAGAGCTAAGTACTCCCAAGGACTGAATAGGTTATGAAACCACTTTTAGGAGCAAAAAGTTGACAAAAGTAATTTTTTTGCACGACTTTGTCAGCATTTGACATGATTGTGGAGGAATTTTTCCCCCCTCTTCTTTACAATGTTGCTTCAGTCTGCAGGCACTTGTTTGTGCACAGTTCTCTTCGCCAAATCATTGCTGAGCACAGACACAGGCTGAGGTTTGGACTTTGACTCAGTCACTGCATCACCTTGATTCTCTTCATTTTCCTGCTGTGCTTTAATCACTGTTCTGTTTTCAGCCAAGCCTCTACAATACTTTGGTATACAGAGGAGTTCACAGTAGACTGCAGTGGATGCAAAACAAGCACAAATTTTCACGCCTCCACCAACATGCTTAACAGATGGTGTGAGGTGTTTCTGCTGATATGTTGTGTTTAGTTTTTTCCCAAACACGATTTTCTCATATGCAACTGTGCAACACTACGGTTTACACTCTGAACAGCTTTTAATTATTGCTTTGAACAGTTCTTTTTTCAGGGGGAATAATTGCACAGCATAGGTCACTAATGCTGTGGGGCAATCTTGGCTCAAAAGTTGGCAGTATGTCTTGTAATCGGAAGGCTGCCGGTTCGAGCCCCGGCTCCGACAGTCTCGGTCGTTGTGTCCTTAGGCAAGACCCTTCACCCGTTGCCTACTGGTGGTGGTCAGAGGGCCCGCTGTCGCCGGGCATCCGGCAGCCATGCCTCTGTCAGTGCGCCCCAGGGTGGCTGTGGCTACAACGTAGCTTACCATCACCAGTGTGTGAATGGGTGAATGACTGGATGTGTAAAGCGCTTTGGGGTCCTTAGGGACTAGTAAAGCGCTATATAAATACAGGCCATTTACCATTCTACTGATGTCAGCCCCTCAGCTTAAAAATGTCATTTGCTGATGGCAGTGATATTTATCAATCTGTGAATGTCACATCAGGTTTATGCTGATGATGTTTTTCCATTATAACACTTTTATAAGCATAGCCCCAGAATTTCATAAAAGCGTAGTCCTCATTCTCACTTTTTCATCCTGATTTTATCTTTCACTGCAGTTTTGTGGGAAAGAAAATCTTTGTGTAGCACAGTTTTGGTGTAAGTCTTCAGACAAAAAGGAAAATGAGGGACAATGTCATTGAGCTGCTCAAATTCACCTGATGTTCTCCCAAAGTAATTTAAAAAAATTAGATTGACATTTTCCTTAAGTGCACCTTGATCACGAGTAATTACCTCCATGATGGCGTTATAGCAGAAAACATTTGAACCATTTGGCTCTCAGTAGAAAT